CCTTCCTAATACAAGGGCTTTCTTACCACTGAGCATTTAACTTCTAGAAATGCAGCTCTTTCTGCATGTAAAAGCTTACCCAGATGTATACTGAGCAAAGCATCTGAATATCAGCTGTGCCTTTTTGATCTTTTTTTTGGATGACTGCTGCTGTAGTAGCTAGATGCTGCTTCTCTGTTAAGGAATAAAGGATGAAATGTGTAAAACTGGAGCATATAAACATACTATACAGATTATCCAGCACCTTTCCATCCACTTGTGGTATCAGCATTGCCAAATGCTGCATGAACTGTTACTGATTTTTAAATGGTGATTTTACAAATGTTCCTGAACAAGTCCTCTACTGGATGATAGGAGGAGATCTGTAAGAATGCAATGTTAGATATTAAAGACTGAAAATAAAGGGTAGATTTTTTTATTTTCCTTCTATACCAAGAAATCCTCCTGGAGTCAATAGAATTGAAAGACATGAATGACAGCAGTATTGTGCTCATGAAAATGAAGACTTCATGTATAGCAGAGTACCCATGAAACCATTGGTTGCAGAAGTTATACATGCACTAGCATGTACCAAATGAATATCAGAGAATGCTATAATTTATAGCTCCCTTCTCAATTCAAATCATGGTGGCCAACAGTAATCTCCTTCAAAAATGTTTTATAAAAATTCTCTTTAATAAATGTTTACTATTCACTCTTATCCCTAATGATCATCAGTGAAATGAAAAAGAGAAACTGTAATGCTCTCACCCCTAATTTGGCAAATGCTTAGTATCCTGTTTTATGAAGCACTAAAGTATTTCTGCCCTGTAATCTTTCATTTCAATAGTGAAAAATTGAATAGATGCCACTATTTAATGTAATGAGAAGTAATCATTGTGCTTCTGAAAGCAAATGTAGCAAAAGATTCTTGTAACAGAAGCTCTGTAGTAAACTACACTCCACTAACCATATCTGCCATACTTTGCCGGGATCCAGGGAGCTTGGCGTTTGTGCTCCAGCAATTCCATTTTACTGGTCAACACAGAATTTTAATTAAACACAGCTTACAGGCTGCATCCCAAATGGAAAAATGAAATTAGAGCATAGCGATACATGGACTTTTTATCTATTACAGTACACAAAAATAGTTTTTTATTTCCTTTCTTCTGAACTCATGACTATTTTATGATGTTAGAAAATCAGTGGTTCAATCCATGCATTTAAAAGTGGCTTCTCCATAACATGTCCAATTCATTAAATTTTTACAGACTTTTGCACTAGAAAATGTGATTTGCCTTTTCAGCAGTTGTGCCAGTTCATAAATACAGTTATGCATCATTACTTTAGGAAAAATAAGCCAATAGGTTAATAGTAAATCCTCAAATTCATAAATATGTAATATAAATCTTCTGCATCTGTAAACTTTAAAGAGTGTATATTTACAGAAAGATACCTACTTTTAAATTTGGGCAAAACATTTACTTTCCTTTTTTAATTCCATACTTGGAAAAAACTTCATCTACTAATACACTTTGGGAAAAGGACCTATGCACACATCTGTGTGTATATGTATGAGTGTGTGTGTTTGTGTGTATTTTTAAGTACATACAGGTTTTACCTATGCCTGCCTCGCTTTTCTCTAAGGGAGTGTAATTTTCCATGGCCATATATGAAAGCAACATTAAGTTCATTAGGGGAAGAAAATCTGGCAAGGCTACGTGAAAATAAAATGTACCTGTAGTATTTAAACTAAAACTTTATTCTGTGTCATAGGGTTAGGTAAAAACATTTTTTCATGACAAATTATTGCCTTATTTATCATGCATGCACAGGGAATGAAATTTACTACAGAGGCTACAGGATTTGTGCATCAGCTGTTTTCTTTTTTAATATTTATTGATTACATTCCACAGTCTTGTCTCAGTATATAAAGGACTCTATGGGAACTGCTAATCTATCAATCTACTGCTTGGTGGCTTGACGATGAGCCAGTGACAGGCCCTTGCAACAAAGCAGGCCAACAGCCTCCTGGGCTGCAGCTGGCAGACCATTGCCAGCAAATCAAGATCTATTCAGTACTGGTGAGGCCACAGCTGGAGTTCTGAGTCCAGTTCTGGGCTCTCCAGTACAAGAGAGACATTGTAATACTGGAGAAAGTCCAGTGGAGGGACTCTGAAATGAATAAGGAACTGGAGCATCTCTCCTATAAAGAAAGACTGAGAGGGCTAAAACTGTTTAACCTGGAGAAAAGAAAATTCAGAAGGATTTCATCACTCTAAATAAACTCATGAAGGAAGGTGCAGGGAAGACAGAACCAGGCTGTTTTCAGTGGTGCCCAGTGACAAGACAGGAGGTAAAGGGTACAAACTGAAATACAGAAAGTTCTGCTTAAACAAAAGAAGAAATTTCTTCACTCTGTGAGTGATCAAACACTTGAAGAAGCTGCTCAGAGAGGTTGTAGAGTCTCCATCCTTGGAGATATTCAAAAGCCACCTGGACGTGGTTGTGAGCAACCCAGTCGACGTGACACTGCTTTGATCAGAGGGGTTGGGCTAGACAATCTCCAGAGATCTCTTCCAACCTCAACCAATCTGTGATTATGTGACCTGCTTAAATACCTTATGCTGCGTTTATTCCTATGAGGTTACAGTAACAAGATAGTCCTTACAAAAGCAGTTCAGAGTGCAGACTTGTGAAGATCTCTAAGTTAACAATATTCTAAGAATATTAGGAAAAACTGAGTATCAACATTAAGAAAGCCCTTGAGCTTTTAGTTACAAATTTGTGGAGTTCCTCATCTACCAGTCTTTCATATCCTTCATTGCAGTATTGGAAAGGGCTGAGTAGGAACATCCTCTGAGGCCAGCGTGACATGTAGGCTACAGCAGTCTAAGCAAGTTCACTCAAGAAAGAATAAGGTATTACAGATGTGTTTAAAAGAGAAGTAACAAGCAGCGGTGAAGCAATTCCTTAAGATTTTTCTTAACTCTTTAATCTACCTATTGCCTGTCAGGTTTACTTTTCTGATTGCCTTTTACAGCACACCTATAATTGTCTATTCACATTGTCACTGAAAAAAAAACCAACCCTCAAATCATCCAAGAGTACTTGTTTATGGCCAGTTTAATGACTGTGTTCAGTATGAGCTACATCAGTTCTGCTCTGTCAAGTTTGGTACTCTTATTGTCTCCAAAAAGTTGCTTTTGACAACTGGAACTGAGTAAAAGGAAGAAAAATCTGAGTTAAGGAATTCCAGAATCAAATTTCCTCATAGAATCTCAGTACCATTCCCCATATATTGTGCCATGGTCTTTAACTGCACAAAAATCAATACCTGTGCGTGATGGGAATGTCCATCCTTTTGTGAGTGTCCTCCATCAAAGTCACCACATCTGACACTGAGGCTTTTACTCTGTTTGTGTCAGCTGAGATACTTGTCACATACGTCTGGTGTCTTTTAAACAGAAGATGAAGTTCTGTTGGCAGTATAATAATTTTTTAAGTATTCATTGTGAGTGATAATAAAATATGTTTTTATAGATGTGCATGGATATATATATGAGAGTTTCCTTCTACATGAACACAGATTGATTTTCAAGATCATTAAATTAACATATTTAACATTTTAATTTTTAATTCCTGAATGTTTTAGCTATTAACAATTAAATGTCTTTTCTATTTCTGAAAAATATTATTATTTTCAAGGACAGAAGATTCTCTAATGTCTTATTTTGGTTTGTACTTCTGTGTACTACTATGTACTCTGATGCAGCTGATATACAACTAGGCTTTGAAAAAGAGTACCTTTGGAAACTGTGGAATTTCCATCACTGTAAGACAAATAGTACAAACTTCTCAGGAACATTTAGGTGTATTTACTATACTTACATGGCAGGAGTCAAACTCTTTTTGTTCCTTCAAGGCAACTTTTCCAGGATTCCTAGCAAAGAAAAAAGCTCAAAAAGCAAAGTACTTTTTTTTGTGAACCTATGTGGGAAAACAGAATGCCCTCACTTCCTCCGGTGGTGATGTCATACAAGATGTGCTGCACTTGATGGCTGACACAGCTGTTGGAACAATAAAGTAGTTCAGCTAAAATGTGGTGTTCTAAAGACTGAGACCTATGTTTGCATGCCAATTTTCACGTTACTGCTACTTGTGGCTCCCATGGTATGTGTGTCAGATTGGGCATTCCTTTAGTCACTGTATCTAATTTCAGTATCAAGTTATTTCCCTCAATACCCAGCAAAGATCCACAGTTTTGTTACTAGTAATCTTAGCATTCTGTACTGCATTTACTGAGAGAGATAACTCTTTGTTTTTCAGAGCTTCCATATGGCTGGGAGAAAATTGATGATCCCATTTATGGCACTTACTATGTTGAGTAAGTTCCCAAGTTCAATATTAAGTTGCTGTTAATATGTTGTAACATAGTCTGTAGTGCTTGGCCTGGCAAAGCATGGTTACAATTACTTGACATGTCAAACTGAGGGTATACCAAGAATTCTCAGTCATCGATACAGGTAATGTGTTCAAATATATTCAATGTGTCTCAGATCAATGACTCAGGCATTCATTCTCTTTCTCCAAGGTCTGATTTCATGGTATCTTTCCAGTTAATACTTGTACAAAGATCATACTCATTAAAGAAATGTTTTGTTTTCTGTATAAGATTTCGATACCCAGTGAGGTAGATATCTTGTTAATCAATGAATAGACCAAAGCATAATCATTTTAGTTCAGTTAAGATCCTTCTCTGGGTTGTCCTTCCTTGCTGCAAATCAGATGTTTACACTGTTCGTACAAGAAGGCAGGTTATTTATACACTGCATATAAAATTTTAGGGATGTTGTCATTTATTTTGTACTAAAAGTGCAGCTGGAAATAATACAAAATTCCATTTTCACAGCACAATCCTTGGTTACAGTTTTTTTCAGATTTTATTTCAGTCATGAAATAAGAAAAAAAGATTAATACTCCTCTGTGCAAAAGGCAACAGAAAGCTTTTGTTTGAAGTACTAGGTAGAACCTGTTCTGGACAGTTCCTACATAAAATAAGTAATCGGAGAGATTATTTTCTCTGTTTTTTAGCTTAACACAGTGAATGAGACTTAGTGAATCTAGATTCAGGATTGTAGTACCTATTCAGAGTGATCAGTTCTCACTCTGCTGACTACACAAAGTATATAGCAAAGGAGGCAGAAAGCCTCTCCCCAGCACTGTGCAGACAGTGCTTGGAAAGACTGTGAAGGTCCTATCCATTACTTCCTTTTATTAAAGATGAGAGATCTTTAAAGAAGATGGCCCCTGACCTAAAATCCCAATTTCAAATCCTGGAACTGAAGTATATTTATTCTAGTTGTTTCGCAGAAAATAGAAAATTTTAGTCTGTGTGTCACATTATTCTCTTGGTCTCTCAAATCCTTTGAACACATAGTGCAGGATCACTCTGGGCAGATACTGGGACTGCAGCTTTTCCAGACCTCAGGATATGCTGCCATTAACATGCACAGGGTAGTGCTGGACAGGGAGATCGAGAAAAAGCTCTGATTTCTAGAGGGTTAGAATATGTAGGATGCCCCTTTCCTCATTGTTATATCAGCAGCAGCTTGTGGTTGCCCATGTGTCTTCCTTAGGCCTTCTACAAAGCAAAGAAAGAAATGGAAGCAGTGTTTGGCCCCTGCCCTGCTGACTCTTCTGTCCCATTCTCCAAATGCAGTAGCACCCACTCTGCTGTTCCCTGCCTTCAGGTGAAAGGGCCAGCAGCCTCATCTGCTTTGCTGCTCAGTCAATATTGGCCTAGTCAGTCCAGATTCAAGCAAAAAGATTAGTACATTTTTGAAGTGCCTTTGTATTGCCATTAAATTCCCCTCTCTCTTTATGTCTGAGTTCCTTTACGATGTCCCCAAGTAGCTAGGAGCTGAAGTTGACGTCTCTTTTTGTACTTAACCCCCTCTGAAGACTCCTGCACGTGCAATTATGTAGCTGCTGGGTGTAAGAGTCATCTGCCCCAGTGGTTTTTAGTATATTTTGGTGAGTAACAGGTGGTGTGCAATTTCTGTGTGTTAATCTCTTTCTGAGAGCATGGTTTGTTGTTAGCGCAGCCCAAGGCATTCTGGCACCAGTGAGGCTCACACTTCACTGCAAAGTCAGAAAAGAAACAAGTATTTATCTCCATTTTATGTCCATCCACAGGTAAACAGACGCAAGGCACCAGGTCCAGATGTTATTATGCTATTACACACTTTAAGGCTGTTAGTGCCAAATTTATTAATCCTACCGGAGATAAGATGTGTGGAGAGATATATCAAGATAACTGCAGGCTCAAAGGTTTTTAGAAGTGGAATGAATGTTCACAAGATAGCATTAAAACTGCAGACATGCTAAGCTCATAAGGAGTTTTGCAGTCGGTAAAATGTAGCTGTACTTTGTTGTCTGAGCTCAGTAAGTTTGAAACAAAGATTGTTTCCCATTTTTCATTCTACAGAGTAGCAATCACACCATTTTTTTTTGCAGTATTCAAGAGATGAGTTCATTTTTAACTAGATAAAAATTAGATTGCAATAGGTTGCAATAAAAGTAGATAAATGAGAAGTTAGGTTATGAACTTTCATACATTCAAGCCCAGTCCAACTTTATATGCAAGTCATTTAAACTGTCAGTGAAATTAACCCTGCTCAATGAAATATTTGTATCCCAAGGGAGGTTTGTAAGGATGAGCAATGAGGCAGACAGGTTCAGGTTCACCTTACAAGGACCAACCATGCTCAGCTCAAATATTCTAAGACCAGAGCAAAAGCTAAAAAAAGAAATAAAGAAAAACCTCAAAGATCTTGCTAGTAGAATTAATGAAGACTAATAACAACATATTTGCAAATTATGTTAAAACATGAGGTCTCCAGTATAACTCCCCCCCCTTAATTATATAAGAGTGTAGGTGTGAGACATTATTAAAATTTTCATTTGCCTTGGTATGCAGGTCCAGGCTTCATTTGTAAGGTGTAGACATTTGACAGAAATGAGAAGTGTTTGCTATATGTGGGTTATCTTACATACAATTTTATCTTAATTTATAAACTAAGAACTAACAGCACTTAGCAGTGCAGGACTATGGAGAGAAGGCAGTTATTGGAGTGCACTGGGTCTTCCAGCATTCTAATTGCCAAAAGATTATTTCTCCCTTTAAGGATGATTAACTACTACACAGAGCTCAATTTCCAGACATGGTCTCCTTAATAGAACAGCTAAATTAGCCAGGTGGGTATTCATTCTGTAAAAATGTATCTGTTTCTGACAACACTTTGTTACTGCTCAAAGAGAAAAACTTATTTCAGTCCTTTCTGTCATTATAAAGTATTAGCTGAAAAATGTGAATGTAAAGAGGAGTTACACACTAATGAGTTATGTATCAGAATGTCCATCTTTTAGTCATTCTGATTCTCAGAATTGGGTTATAGGGAGTGATTTCAAAAGTTAGTGTCACAAACTACCAGAAAAACTCATACATTAAAGTAGCTAAGAAAAGGATAGGTTAAACTCCTTCTGCTGATGCGCATGCTTAGCTAACCATGCTACGGTTACTTATCAAAGCGTGGTACTGTTTTGGCAGGGCTTAGTGTCTTGGCTATCAGCAAAAATCTGCATACTAAGCTTTACTGGTCGTAAATCTGCTAAGAATAAGTTTCAGTTGTCTTAAGCACATCTAACATGAAACTCCATCATAAAAACAACTTCGCTTGGCCACGTTCACTGATGAAATGGCAGAATGGTGCCTACGTCTTTCGAACTGGCTGGTGGTGACAGTACCTGTTCATAAAACAAGAGATGGTATTTCAACTTCACAGTTAAATGCAACCCAAAACCAAATCATACCTCTGAGGGGTTGTCACCAGTTAGCACATGGCCAACTAACAGAGGATGGCAGCATCAACCACCCTAAATTCTCTGGAGAGGGAAACTCAGGGTTCCTGGGGCTAGAAAGCAAACAAAAGGCAGCATGATTCTTCTGTACAGCCACAGTGGCACTAGGAGAAATTAGTTGGATTCTTGTCTTTGAATTAGGCTTTTGCATTTAATATGCATTGTATAAAATAAAAGGATGAAAAGTGAAGATAGACATCCTCATTGAATTAGATAACATGAGCAATAAGCAAAACATTTTTGGATCACATCCAAGATCTATTTTAACCACAAAAGCACTTTTTTGTAACTATCTCTAAAACTCGCATTTGGCTTGTCTTGTTAAGGCCTAGGTTGGTAATATCTATTCTGTATGCAGTTGAAGTAGCTAGATGAACAGCTAGAATGTCCTTTCAAGGGAACTACTTAGCTTAACAACTTCTTTCTCAGGTAAACTCACTCATCAGTAGCAATTTTTCTGATTTAGTCATGAAGCTGTATAGTACTTAAAATTGCATGAAAGGGAGATGTTTCATGTCTCATCAGTCTAGGAGCATAAATCTAGTGTTACTGGCTGATAAAAATGTCTGATTAACAGCATCATTTTCTTTTCTTTGACTCCTCTTGGACACAATATTTAATACAGTTGTTTGAATTGTTTGGAATTCTCACATTGAGCTTTTGAGACTGCACACTACCATAAAACAGTCAAAATATGGGAATAAATTTGAGCTAGGAGTTAAGGTTGCACCAACAACTTGAGTTGCTTCCAGTACCTCTGCTAATCTTCCTGTCTGATCTGCTAGGACAAAAAGATCGTTTTCAAGATAGCCATTACTGAAGACATTTTTGGACTAAACCACAACTTAGCCTGAAACAGGAACTGATGTCCCTTGACCTATGGACACATCTCATATTAGCTAAAAATCCCATAATTTGTATATGACAGAACCACGTATAAGTGGTAACTTAGGTCTGCAAGAGGCCTTCTGCAGCACTGAGATGTGCACTGCAATTATAGCATGACACTAGGCATCGTTCAAAATCCTAAATGCAGATATATAGTGTGATCTGGAATATTCATTATATCTACGTAATATGGCACAAAAGCTGTGGGAAACCCTTCTTCTGGAAGGGCAGCTGAAGACCAGGGCAGGATAATTTAGAGTCTCTAAAATGAGATATGATCCCTACATTGAAGCAATTAACTTACTGTGTAGCAACCTTGTTTTTAACCTCATCAAATGCTAATATCAAACAAGCTAGATACTCTATGCCATATCTGCTATTGGAAGCTGTTTCATCATTTCATACTTCTGCTTGTAAGAACCCTACAGATTTCAAGTCTGAAATCCTGACATCTTTAATACATTCAAGTATTTACTTGAAAATTATTCATAGAAAGCAATTATATAGCAGAATTAATTCTTCTTGAAAAAGAAGTTAAAACTCCTTTGGTCTTCTACCATAGAAGACTCTCACTGGTTTTCCTCTGAAACCTTTTCTGTTGATTTATTTTATTTGGTCATGTACAATCAGACTTTTATGTATTGGGTTGGCCAAAAAGTAATTGTGTTTTTTTCTGGGTAAATGAAAGGTGAATTTTTCATGGGAAAAAAACCCTGTATTAAATAATGTATTGTCCATTTTGTTCAATTACCTTTTGCCATATTTCAGGCAACTTCATGATTCCATGCTCAAAAAAACTCTTGTATTTTTTTTCAAAAAACAGTTCTAAGAAAAATTTTATATCCTCATCAGCAGTGAAGGCATTGTATAAAGAACAAAAGAAGTGGTAGTCTGATGGTGCCAGGGCTGGCGAATATGGTGGATGTGGTAACACATCCCATCCAAGCTACAACAATTTTTGACAAGTGACCAAATTTTTATGTGATCTAACGTTATCATGGAGAAACACACCACCTTTGTGATTCACCAGTTCTGGATGCTTCTGTTTGATGGCATCATTTAATTTATCCACTTGATGACACTATACACCCAAATTAATGGTTTAGTTCCTTGGAAGCAATGCAAAATACACAATACCTTTGAAATCCCACCAGACTGACAGCATAACCTTATTTTGGTGAATATCTGCTTTTGAAGTGCTTTGAGCTGGTCCATCATGCTTGCCCCATGATCTTTTTCATTCGCCATCGTTATGGACTATCCATTTTTCATCACCTGTTATCATCCTTTTCAAAAATGGATCATTTTCTTCATGTTTCAAGAGAAAATCACAGATGTCAACATGCTTAAGGAGATGAATGTCTTTGAGCTTGTGTGGTACCCAAACACCGAGCTTTCTGATGTATTTGAGTTGTTTTAAATGGTTTTCAGTGCTCAATTTTGATATGTGAAAATTATCAGCAATGTCTTGTGTCCTTTAATGCTGATTGGAGTCAATCAATGCCTTTATTTTGTCATTGTCAACTTCGATTTGTCTTCCTGAGGATGATGCATCATTAACATCAAAATCTCCGGACCAAAATTTAGCAGACCAATTCTGAAACCACCGTAGTTTTAAGGCACCTTCACCATACATATCACATAGCTTCTTATGAACTTGCACAGCATGTTTTCCTTTTTGGAAATAATACAGCAAAATATGATGAAAATGTTCCTTTTGATTTTACATTTCTAAATCAACGCCAAATAAATAATTGTTAACAAAATTGTGCACTTTCTTTTTCTAAAACAAGCTTGAAATGTCAGCTGTCAAGTTTCATAATGAATTTGCAGTTTAAAATGAAGTTAGTTACACTTTAAGACTTGTATGTCCATCTATTAAAAAAATGCAATTACTTTTTGGCCAACCCAATAGTATTTCATGTGGTAGTTCATCACTGCCTTGTGTATTGACAAAAGTACTATTTCCTTCACAATATTGAAATATATCACATGATAGGTAGTAGCATGAAAATTACCTTTTTCATGCTTATGTTATTAGTTCGTAATTACCCTATTTGATGCATGTAAGTCTATTCTTTTTCTATTTTTAACTGATGACGTTTGTCTCCCATCATTTGTTTCTAGGTTTGCATTAGGCTAAGGTGGTGAAGAGCATGACAAGTACAGCATAGTCAAACTAGAAAGCAAAAGGCTAGGAAAGGAAAGCCTACAAACTCAAACAGCCTATCTGAAGAAAGAAAGAAATAAAAGGAACTTTTTTTTTGTCTGCAGCATAGATTAAAATTTACAGGGAACTGCCAATTTAGAGTACGAGAAAAAGTCAGCAGACACTTGGATGAGTTATAGCCATGTTAACAAAGTAGAAACTTCAGGATTTATCACATTTACTTTCTCTCATTAAATAAAATATTCTTTTACATGACTGGAAATATTTTCATTGCATTAGCTCTGGCCACTAAATCCTGATTTTCCAAGTGTATTGCATTCCCATAGGACTTGCTGTCTTTCCTCTACCTCACTTCTTAATGGCAATTCCACTACTTTCTTTGCAGCAGTGGTAAGATCTGAATCCCAAGGGACCTGAAAAGTGCTTAATGTGGCATAAAAGGTCATTTCAATATAAATTGAAGGTATTCAAAACTTTTTAGCATCTCAGAGTTTCAGAAGTTCCCTGGTCACTTCTCCAAGTGCTTAAAGCCCATGATTGGGATTGGATTTTCAGGAAAACTCAGTACGTGTTGAGCTCAGTGAGAACAAATAAGGAGTGACATGTTTGAAAACCTGCCCTTCTGTACCTATGTATTTATTGCAGCACAAACCCCTTTTCTCAGTTGTGATCCTATAGCGATCATATCTTGCGAATTTCTTCAATGCAGCCTGCTAAATTGTTTTTCTTCAGAAAACACTTTAAACATATCACAGGACAAGATTGTAGGATTACTCATTGATTGATAAAATGGATGGTTTAAATTAAAGAATTAAAAGCAAGGATATGATGAGAGTATGTAGTTAAGATAGTTCTAAACACAATACATAAAATCAGTGGTGTATTGACAGAGATGTGCCTACAGACATGTTGTGGGAAATGTAAAGCGTCGAGAAAAAAATGTGTAGATTAACTTTTCTTATATTTCATGTACTTATCTATAGAGTTCTAATCTATCTGACTTAGTTTCTACAACATCTCATTTTTCTGTACAGATGAGCAGATATATACCATAGCATTAAAAAGAAGTCATCTGCATTTTAATTCCTATGTTGGATATATTTCTAAGCTGCAATCATAAACAACCTCTGTGTTGTAGGCTTTACCTTTTCTGTAAGTGATTAAGTAATTTCACTTACAGCTAATCAATAATAATACACAAAACTGGTTCAGATCCTTTGAATTATGCACAGGAGTATGTTTGTACTAAAGACATGAAAAACTGTCCTTGTAGCATGCTTCAGCAGTACTGCTATTTCATATGTAGTCCCGTAGTTTAAAACCATTTGCCTGTAGCAGAGTTCAGCATATTGAAATAATAGGACACTTCTCAGTACTGCTCATGATGCAGTGCACTAGATTGTGCATTTCTCATCCCCAAAACGTTGTATGGAGTACAAGGGACATGCTTGGGCCCATTGAGGTTTCATAACAGTTTCGCCGTCTAACCACAGACACCTAAGTCACATACAGCATCCTACTGTGAAAATGGTAATTTTCCCCAACTGAACCCAATTTTTAATCAAAACCAAATCTTTTCCAGCCACATAAATAGAAGAACACAATTTGAAAACCCTGTCCTAGAAGCAAAAAGGAAGCTACAGCAGCATAACATGCCCAACGCAGAACTTGGAACAAAGCCTATGCAGGCCCAAGGTTTCCGAGGTACAGTACTGTGTCAGTTATCTTAGTTAAATGGAAGATCTTGCTCTCCTGTTCATGCAACAATGATTTTGTCAGTCTCTTTAAAATAATAGTGTTGCCATATCTCACAATGTTATCACTTATCTTCTAGCATTTTTCTTCCCTAAATGTCCAAACTCTCAGAGTTCTGGTACTCATGACCCACCTAAAATACTCTAACCATCAGAGGCACAGATTAAAGACAAAAAAGTTGACCACAGTGTTTCCTAAAGAGTGAGAAACAGAAAGCACAATAAAAGCTCCAAAGTAATTTTCTAAATAAAATCATAAATTGTATTCTTGGGAATGTACATCTCTCTATGAGCACCCGAGGTTGGCAACACTGAAATAATTAATTGTACTTTCTCTAAATTACCTTTAATTGATGCTTGGTATGTTTCTAAGCTAGCTCATCTAGCAAGCATCAATTAAGTTAAAAGCCTCAAGCACTGTGTTATAGAACTTTACAAGAATACAGCCTCTTGGTAACGTAAAAATTAATGTGCTTAAAATGAGCTGCATAAGCAGCAAACAGTACTGGTAGAGATGAATAAACTTTAAAGTAAGGTTATAGCCAGAGAATGAGGCTTGTTCTCCTTTGTAACAGTAGAAAGCTCCTCATCAACCTTACCTAGACCCAAACTTGCCCATCCGCGCCCTGCTCCCAAGAGGTCCCGCAGCGTGAATGACCTGTCCCAGTGCCGGCGTGACCCTGCTGGGACGCGCAGGCTGTACGGTATGTCCTCCGCTGCCGGCCAGCCCAGCACCACCACTGCAGGTGTAGTGAGAGCAGTTGAAGTCACAGCCTTTGCACCTTCCTCCCACCCTTCCTCACCAAGCGCAGCATGGGGGAGAGGCACAGGGAGCCCCCGCCACCCACATCGCACACCGAGGCATGCCGAGAGAGGACGCAAAGGTTGCATAGCAGTTACCTGTGTCACTTGTTGGATGCCAAAACCTCACATGTTCGGAGAGGAAGCTCACCTAATATTTAGCACTGCTTGTTAACAAATGGAATGAGATCTTCACAGAATATTTTCTTTATTGCAGGTGGGAGGGAAATTATGGAGAATGTATTTGTAGACAAAGCTGAATTTATAGGTTAGGAAAGAAGTTTTAAAATTAATTCACAAATCATTTTTATTGTTGTAATTACTTTAGCTACACAATATCCACTTCTAAATTTATATCTAATATTAAAGAACATTTATAACTCCCCACTTATGGCTGATGTGCCATTGATAAGAAATATGTTTTAAGCTTTATATTAATATAAGAACTCACAAATATTTTTTCTTGGAATGCTTGCACTCTTTATTTCCTTGATTTTCATACACTGTCACCTGCTATCAGCCAGTATTGTTATCTACTGTCCTCACTGTGTTGTGACCAGATCAGGACTTTTGTCTTTCTTGTTTGTGTTGACGGATGTAGAAAAACCACTCTTCACCCGTGATGCATCACAGCTGAAGGGGACTTTCCTCAGCACAACTCTTAAGAAAAGCAACATGGGTTTTGGATTTACCATCATTGGTGGGGATGAGCCAGATGAGTTTCTCCAGGTGAAGAGTGTAATTCCTGATGGGCCTGCAGCGCAAGATGGGAAAATGGAAACAGGTAATGAAGATAGTTTCTTTTTTCCTTTATATGAGAAGTAGAATGAGACATCGATTTTTGAATCTTGCTCTCTCCATCAATGCATGTATTCTTCCATATCACTTTCTGTGTTAATGTTTAATATATCTGCTCCATAAGAAAAACAACTTCTCAGATAAAACTTTCTTCTAATTTTTCTTTCTAATGATGCCAGGTAGCTTATTTTTTCCCATTTCACAAAATTTAAGGGGAGAAAAGGTCTCTGTATTCTCCAACATAAAAATGGGATGTGTTGCTCTTTGTAGGCTGTTTAATCAAGGAGAGTCTGTGCACAGAAAGAAAAAGAGACAGGCAGATGGAGCACAGGCTCCCTCAAATTTATTTCTTTAGAAAGGATGGTTTTGCAAAATAATCAAAGTCGAGACTGATCCAACATTGTTCTCATTAGAATTGTTAAAACAAGAGTTTTTAGTGTGGCATATGGACACGTAGGCATCTGTGGCCTACTAATAAAGAATCTGTGAAAACTAAATAAACTAAATAAACTAAATAAAAGAAATATTCTCTGAAGCGATTTAAGGCTGCTCTTAAGGTATGGACCACCACTGGAAGGATTTTCATGTCCATAGATTGATAAAGATTGCAAACCACTCTTTTAAGATTTGGAGGGTCACATCAGGTCTATAAATGGAGAAAATATTTTTGTAGGAAGATTAACTCGGTTTCCAAACCAGCTATCATCTCCTGTAGGAGAAGGCAATTGAAGCATAATAGAATAATTTCAGACTGCAGGGATCCTCGGTCACCAACGTTCTGCTCAGAGCAGGTTGGATGGGGTTGCTCAGGGCTTCATCCATGAGACTTTGGAACATTTTATAGGACAGAGATCCCACAGCCTCTGTGGGCTCCTGTATCAACACTTAACCACTCTCAGTGGTGAAGATTTTTTATGCTTTAGGTCCAATTGGGATTTCCACTGGTGCAACTGATTACCACTGACTGTAGTCCTGTGTTCATGCAGCCCTGTTGCTGCGCACCGTCATTCCCCAGCAGTCCTTGTTCCTCAGATACTGGTCAGGCTGCACATTGGTGCTGGGACATGTGCATAATTTTCCCTTTCATTTCTCAGCAAGACGTTATAGCAGAAATGCTAGTTTGGGATTTATGTTGTCTCTGCAGAAAACCAAGTTCATGGTGGCCAGAGTCCCTCTGAAGATAAGAGGATTTCATAGTCTGTGAATATGTAGATGGACCACAACAGCAGAGCAGGATCCTTTTAGTGCATTACAGTATGGGAGACAGACACGTAAACACACAGAGGCACAAATAATGTGGGTGGAACAGTCCCAAGTGATTCTTCTAGAAATTTCCTTTCATCTTGGAACTGGATGAACAATCTGGACTATTGCATGTTGAAATAAAACACCCGAAACTCTAGTTTATTCTGTAGGACTCTCCAGGACTTTGCAAGTAGGAAGTGTGAAGGTTGTGAGAAGTATTATTTTTTAAAAACTGCAGTTTGCCTCAAGTCTTGTATTACAGCTGGCATGATGTTATAATTTCTATAAAGAAGTAAAATGTAAGAAATACATAGATTATTGGCATTGGTTTTCTAAAACACTAGTCTAATAGCTTTTTAATTTTCAGTTCTTGTTGCCATTTTAACTTGATGCAATTTGGTTGTTCTGAAAGGTAAAATCAGATTAGCTGATTAAGTGAACCAAGGGTACAACAGAATTTCTGAAGCTCAGGAGACTTTAGTAACATGAACTTCATTTTTCCTGTTGTTTTCATGTTACATAATACACTGCATGAGAGATTTTCCTTGTTTCTTATGGTTTAGCATTCTCAGATCCAGCACTCAAGTATAGTTACTTGCTAATCTGAAGTGTGGGCTGGTTATTGGTGAACTTGTTCATATGGAGTTCTTTTCTCTGGCAACTTACTTAATTTTTGATGTTGAAAATGAATACGGGTGTCATAATACTATTGATGGTGATTATTGTAGTCATGGATTGTGACAAGAAAAATGTGCTTTAAAATGCATAGAAATATTTTTTTCCTGTGATAATTAATTCAACTCCATTAAGAATGCAAGGCAGAAATGTACATTCAAATATATAATCACTCTATAATTATGTGAGCCCAATATGTACAAAATTACATCTCAGAATATATTCTGGCCTCAAATGTCTTCCTTTTTGAGAAGAGCGACAGAGTTCTGATGTAAAGTAATTGGAGAAACTCAGGTTAATGATTGTGGTGTCTATCATGGTTTCTGTGAGTTTTGGAAGCAATTTATAAATACAATAATAGTAAACTGATAAAAGATATTTAAGGTCAGAACATTTATAAAAGCATTGTTCAGCAAAGTGCTTATACTTCCTGATATCCAATCCTTTTCACGCTTTCAGAAGTAGGATTTCTCTCCATATTCAGCCATTTTACAATCTCATCAACTGGAGATATGAAAGTCTCCCAGGTTCCATCAATAGCATTTTGTTCATAAAACTGTTAAAATCTTGTTTTAAAACTATTTGAAATTATATATGTACCTTTTGTTTGTTAGGTAGGCATCATTGGATGATGAATAGAGCTCTTAAAATAGATTTTATTTATTCTTTTGATATGAACTGTATGTTGTTGTGCAATTTATGTGAGCTCCAGCTGTGATCACAGTCATAGGAGGCTTTGGTAAATGATCAAAATATCATATTGTGGCAGCAGGGCATCATAGTAGAAAGCATGAGGGCAATGGCCCTAATATCCATGAAGCAACCTGGATGTAAGGGATAGCCACAGGTGCTGGTGCTCCCAGCTGTAATACAGCTCTGGAGCCTTTCCCTTGCAAGGCTGGTACTTTTTTTTGGCCAAGTGGTAAACAAAATCCTAGTGTTTTAGACCTGCATCAGATATGGGTGAAAAAAAAGGAAGAAAAGGCACCATCTCCTTCATCTTACTTGGTCTTGGCCACAGGCTGAAGACACCAGTCTTGTACTTCATCCTAATTGTTAAAGAAACAAGCTCATAGAAATCTAATAATATTATTGTTTACTTCTCCACCCAAAATCTAATGTAGGGGTCAGATAAAAATGCTGTTCAAAGAGAAGGGTGAATCTATGTAAGATGTTACTGTTACCCTTTTAACATGATCACAACACAGTGATTTCACTTGCAGGTTTCACAGTGAAAAGATTTTGGATTTCATCCCTTGGAACATGGCAGCAGCTGTATGACAGTGACTTGGCATTGCTATGATGCTATGAAACAATTAAAGCAGTGAGGCAACCTGGGTGCATTGAGATGCAACAAGAGATATCTGATGTCCTGGTGATCTACCACCACCACTCAGAGCCTAGCCCTGAGCACTAAGAGGTCACTATAATTGTCCCAGACTCACAACAAAGTTCACAAGCAGACTCAGAGGAATCACATCTTAGTGGATGAGTCAAAAACAGCCAAATTTCCATTTCGGATCCTATTTGCCAGATGTTTCCAAATTCCTAAGGGTTATTATGCCCTCATGTAAGTCTAGTATCTGTGAGCTAATGGCTGTTAATAATACTGCAAATGCCTTTCTAGGACATGTTTTAGCATTTAGAGCTCAATCAAGCTGCTGGATATGAACATTACACTCCACAGCATCTCTGTTTACCTCAAGACAGCCTAGGAGCTGTTACCACATTCTTTCTTGAGAGGTTACATTGCTTTGTCTTGTCTGAAGCCTCATGCTGCTGATAGAAAACTATCTGCATTTAAGAGGCCCCTGTATCCCATTAAAATGCTGAGTGAATGTCACTGGTAAAAGACTGTATCTACATTAAAAGATTTTTATATAGGGTGTGATTTTGAATGACTGCTGTTCTAAGGCAAACAAAGATTTAGGCCTGCAGCTGAGTCAGATAAAAGCTCAAGCTGCAAAGGCAAAAACTTTCCTTCAGTTCCAAGGTTATTCAGTGGACTAGATAAACTGAAACACTCTCACATAATCAACCTCAGGAAAGATTCTCACTCTGCGCATTTCAGCAAGTTCCAGTTCCTTTGGTGAAAGTTTCCAAGAAACAGCTCAAAGACTTGAAGCTTGAGTGATCAGTTGAGTCTGTTAATGACCCCTCTGACTGATGAATAGCTATGGTCATTGCACTTGGAACTTTCCAGAAACATATATACATGTGTAATGAATTGTCATAGCTCAACAGTGTCTCAAGAAATGAGAAACATGGTCTTTCATTTCATCAGCCAAGCATACACTTGGCCAACTTCAAGATGCTAAACCATCTGTAAACAATGCATATTTGGGCTTTTGTAGATGCTATTCTCTCAAGAATTATATTAGTTCACTATATTAGTTAATCTATTCTAGAGGTAAAAATTTGTAAATGTAAGATAAGGTTCAGCTAACCCAGATGTCTACACCTAGCATATGAGTAGACATCTACTACTTGCGAATGGCTGTATTAGGGTGAAGCCTAGAGAATAGTGATCTAGAAAACAGTCACATCTACCACTCAGAATCTGTGCTGCATCTGCAAGATCTCCAAAGGGAGTGAGCCTGCTGTTAGAAATACTGGAAGGAGTGACCCATGGCCTTGCTGCTATCTGTGGGCCTACCATCAAGGCCCATAACAGTCTTGTATACGTGATGAATTTTTCAAGAAGCTGAGGTTACTCTAAATGCAAGCAAATTAGAGACACTGCACACTTGATCTACAAAGTCATAAATGTTGTTATTCACTTGAATAAGAATAAAACTGAAGCCATTATCTGGTGGCTGACCCTACAATGTCGCTAAGATTAGGGAATAATTATCTAGTCATCATTCATGCATTTCTTTGCACAGCAAGGCTAATATCTCACAAAAAAAGGCAGAGTACTCAAAACAGAAGGAATTGAGGACATCTGCAAAAAGATGCATTTTTACAAGTTCAAACAGATGCTTAGTTCTGTTCCGTTTGTCTACACCGTTTAACCACAAGGAATGACTTCAATTCAAAGAAGGAAATATGTTAAAATTAAACAAA